AATAATAATAATACTTTATTAAATTTGTATGCTGCTTAACTCTCCACAACTCTGGGTGGCTCACAACAATCAAACAAGAAATTACAATCAAATCAATAAAACATAAAAAAGTAAAGATAAAAGATGGCAAGCATAATGAAGTGAAGGGTCTCCCTCTCCCTCACCAAGATAGATAGATAGATAGATAGATAGATAGATAGATAGATAGATAGATAGATAGATAGATAGATAGATAGATTTATATGTATTTTGGTTTATTTATTAATAGAGAAATAAATAATAAAAATAATACCTGCATTTAATTATTTTAAGTAAAAATATTGTACTTTTTTTTTTTTTTTGCCTTGGACCCAGCTATTTGGCATATATATGACTGAGCTGTATAAGTTTTAAAAATATAACCCCTTTCTTGATGAATCCTAACAAGCTGTGATGTTGAAAAACGGCCCGTAAAATAAACTTGAAACAGAACATCACTGATATGGTTACGTTTTTAGAATACATATACCAGGGACTGTAAGAAAAAGGAAACTTTTATAACAACTAACAGCTTAAAAAAAAACTTTATGGAAGAATCAGCTGAATACTAATTATTATAATTAATTCAGTCTGAGCTAGGAAATGGTGATTCTTACAGAAAGGATGCTGACATCTGAAGTATTATTTTACAGACATTTTAATTGCACTTACAGTATTTTAGGAAAATGTAGCTCTTTTAGTGTTGAGCAAGCTTGACTTACTAGGGAGGTTTTAAGTAATAAAAGTAATAAAATCACTTAAATAATAGTAAGTAATGTCTCTGTAGTCCTTTTCGATTTAATTAGGACTGCGAAAAGCACTGTAATGAGGTACTTTGTAACACATGGGAACATGAAGAGAAACTCTCTCTCTGAATCATTACAGCAATAGCATCATTTGCCAAGGGTTGCATGACTGGTGCCCAAGCCACTTCCAGCTGTCTTCAAACTGTACGCACAGACAGCCAGGAGCAACTCCCAGAGCAACCTCAGAAGCTTGTTTCGTGATTGCAAGGGAGGGGTAGGGTTTGTGCTCCACAATTGTGAATCCCCCCATTTAAACGCTTTGCAAAGCCCTATTAATATAGGTTTAATTTGGTGCAACGTCATTTTCTATTATGAAATTATGGCTGAAGAGCTGGGATGGGCCAAGTGTGGCCCACCTTTAGCATTTCAAGTTGCTAAACATGATGCTAGTACTGGACATCCTACTTCCAACACCACCCCCAAAGTCTGGAAGAGGTTAATTGTGAGAAAGAGCCAGTGATGCAAATTAGTTCGCATTCATGAGCTTCTCTGCTTTTGAAACTGAAACCCTGATGTGTTCCATTCTGACCCAATGAATACCTACTTCATTACCCTTCATCCAAGTTGCCGTTGGTGCTGGTTCTCCAGTGATGTTCACGTCCAGGCGTAGTTTGTTCCCAGCAACAACCACAATTGTGTTTTCATTTGTTTTCCCTGATCCACAATCTAAGTGGATCTTGGGGGGTTCTGGAAAAACCAGAAATGACAGTGAAACGATTTTCCCTCCACACTAGTCATGCATTAGCTGGTATTTCCAGGAATGACATATTTCCCCAAAGCTACTAACAGCTCCCAAGAGAGTGAACAAGGGCTTGCTTTGATCCACAGAGATTAGCTGATTTGAGTTCCCTTCTTTATTTTTATTTTTTTATTGGAGCCTTTTGTTGGGGACTGTAGCGTTATACCCATTCTCCTGACAATTAGTCTCAGTTGCCTAAGCTCTCTCATAGAGATGGCTTCTTATGGGGAGATGTTTGTAACACTGGGTCTGCCTCAGCTGGAGAGGTGCACGGCTTAGTTTGTGTCAACAACTCAAAGCAAAAAAGTACTGTTCTTCAGTGGAGATAATTATTTCCATTTTATGGACAGGAACTGTACATAATTATCTGTAAGGATAGAAGAGCTTAGCAGACCAACACAGAAGCATATGTAATCCAGCATCCTTGGGCCAATCAGATGCCTCTGGAAGGGCCACAAGGAAGACCTGAAGTCAATAGCTCCCTCCTCCTGGACAGGAGAGGTCCAATTGTTACGACTAGTAGTTACAGATAGTCTTCTTCTCATCCAACCCATCCAAGCTGGGGGGTTCATGTTGCAGCATTGAAAGTCAAACTATAACTGTTTGCTGTGTGATGAAATGCTTTATTTTGACTGCCATGAAACTCCTACCCTTCAGCTTCATGAGATCATGCCCTCCCTTAGTTGCTTCTATTTTCTAAATTAAAATGCCTCAAATGTTGTAACCTATCCAAATATGGGAGATGCCTTAACCCCCTGAACAATGTGACTTGCTCCCAGCTGGTCAAGTGAGATTCTTGGGCTGAGCAAAAACATTAGGCTAGGTTTCTTCAGCATGCAGCCAGTGACCAACATTGGTCTACATCTGACAACTCTGGTCCCATTAACATTCTTTAATGCAGGGAGATGAAAGGGACAGACCCCTTTGCTTCACTCATTCAAATAAAGTTTTCAGCAAGCCTGAATTTTGCTGTATTGGAAAGAATTCTGAGGCTCCTGTCCTAGCCAACATTCTCTCAAGATTGCAAGAATTCACCCACCTTGCTTAGGGACATACTCAATCTTGATTTCTAGAAAGGGGAAGAGAATGAAGAAAAAACAGCAGTGAAACCTCTGGTCAGTGTTTTGAAGTTATAAAACCTATATTCTTTCTTTCTGTGCCACTATACAATTAGGATGTGGTGTCATTCCCCAAAGTAGTGTTTCCTGTGAAATAAGGGCACCATAAACTTCCTTACAAACAGAAGCCAATCATATCCAAAAGATTCCATCCATGAGCAAGCCATAGAATAGGAAACGTAGCTTCTGCAATTAGCGTAAAAGTTTTGCAACTGAAGGATTCATTTAAACACACGCATACATAAACACCCAAGTGTTTAGACGGAGAGTGGGTCGACCCACAGGACCCTGAACCCTCTTTTTAAAGCTCCTAAAGTCCCTCCACCCTGAAATTTCACAGCAAACTACCAGAACCATCAAGGGCATAATTTCCCATTTTCTAAATTGAAAAACGAAGCAAATAATCTAAAAGAAAAAAAGAAAAAAAATTCTAGAAAAATTAACTCCGTACATTTTGGTGATCTCACAATCTCACTATCATTGCTCCCTGCTATGACAATGGCAACAACAATAATTGTGACCCTTGTCTGCAAAAATGTTGTCTATTCCTAGTCTAGACTGATGACTTTTAGTGCGTATCATCCAGATTTGGAATAAAATTTTGTTCAGGATTTTAGCTACTTCAGTTCATTTCCCCTTTCATTCACACAGTTTGCCATTAGTTGCTTTGGAAAAATCCCTGTTTAACACGATTGTGTGTGAGGGAGGAGGGTTCCTAATTTTTTAGCACTTCATAAATTTGTGGCACAGCTCTTTATTTGTTCATAGGCAATTCCATTTGGCAAACTAAGCAGCAATCTTTGCAGTATGAACATGAGAAACAAAGGAAATAATATATTTGCATGCAGGAACTTATCCAAGAGTCCCATGTAGTGCAGTCATGCTCCAAGTCGGCTAGATATGTGGCTGTGGAAGAAACTTAGAAAACCCAAGCTTGTGTTTTAATATGTTTCTGGATGTATACCTTGAAAAACATGATATTCGGCCACTCAGCCACTGTTCTGCACATGGACTGTAATGGTGATGGTCATTACAAGCTCAAGGATTTTGCACTTACTGGAGAATCTCAAGCCCCCTACCCAAGTCCCTCCCTGCACTGACCCAAGAAGTTGAGCTTAGCAGAAAGTGAAAGAGCATATCCATCAGGGACAAAGGTGTAATCTCCCTCGTCTTCAGGTCTCACATCATCAATGACCAGCTTGTGGACCCTGCAGAATAAAATGGATGTTACAGACAAAGGATCAGAATGGATGGACCACCATCAGCTGATTCACAGGGTTGGGATTCTAACCTAAGATCAGCCCTCGCAGATGGTTCAGCATAATGATTTTTCCTCACCATTAAGCAACTCATTTGTTGTCTATTTCTCATCCAAATGAATGAACTGGCTGTTCAGAGATGTAATAGGACACATCATATCACACTGTGGTTTCTCATGCAGTATTTAAGCACTAGGCCCCAAAGCAAAGCTAAGCAAAGGTAAAGCAACTAGAATGATGCTTTATGAAACCTCAATTCATTGAGCGTAGTGTATTTAGCACTTAACAGTGCTAAATACACTACACTTACCATTTTATAAGAAAATGGCGAATCAGTGTGCATCAGTGTGTATGTGTATGTCTGCATTAAACAAAAATCAGGAACCCCACCCTTAAAATAAATACGGGGTTTGTCTTTATTACCTTTTTTTTAATTCCTCCAGAAATTATAGTCCAAAAACAAAACAGCAAAGTACATCGAACAGAGAGAGGGTGCTCTGCCCAAGCCTGTCCAGTGAGATTTATACCTGAGCAAAAACCTAAAGCTGAATTTTATATGCTCAAGGCAAGTGTTTAACCCACAATACCAGAACAGATTCAGCTGAACTAATAAAATGGCAGGCACAAATGGAGCTGTAACACCCACCAATGCCACAAATAAACCCTTTGCCTACATTCTACTGTTTTCTCCAAATGCTCACCTGCCCTTGTGAGAAATTGTGATGCGTTTACTGGGTCGGATCTCAACTCCATTCTTGTACCATTTGCCAGTCACCTTCTCATCAGACACTTCACACTTGAAGACAGCTTGCTCAGTGGCCTTGACGGTCAGATCAGCAATATCTTGAATTACTTCGAGCGGTTTGTCTGGATGGTAAGAAAGGAAAAGATTCGAACACATAAATTCCACTGGGAAAAACCTCCAAATCCCTTTATAGCCTTTCCATCAACTGATCCATTGGCCTCCACAGACCTTCAACTGCAAGATCTGCCTCTGATTGGCCCCCGTTGGTTACAACCTGGTAGCGCCCAGCATCCTCCTTGGTAGCCTCACTGATTATGAGCATATGCTTTTTGCCATCCTTTTTGAAGCGAAAGTTCTTGAGGGTCTCTTCACGACTCAACTCCACACCATCCTTCGACCTAGAGATGAAGAGAGGAAAAAGGGAAGAAGACGGAGAGAGGACATGATTGGGGAGACATGTGCAATGCCTATGATGCAAATAAAACAAAGGAGAAGACAAGAATCTTCCCAGCATCATAAGGGGCAGAAATTATGGCTTTTCCAGAATATTACCTATATTTTCAAGTAATCTGATTAAATTTCCTAAAAGTGTTCTGTTTATGATTCTATATCTTCAGGCAACATTTCCATCTTTTTTTCCCCTTCTTTTTAACTATGTATAACCTATAGATTTATCATTATTATTCTGTTAGGCTAGAATTTTTGCCTCCTAGATTTAAATCATACAGTTTGATAACATGTGAAAAGAATTGAAATTGACATCTTTATTTTTTACCTCATTATTATTCTGTTATTATTTTTTTAAGTTGAATTAAAAAAAGAAAGATGGAAACAAACCCACAAGAAACATACGTTGGAAAGTTTAAGAGACAGCTCTGTAGCCAATACAGAGATTATTTAGAAGTCATCTGATTGGCTAGAGCAGTGTTTCTCAACCTTGGCAACTTGAAGATATGTGGACTTCACCTCCTAGAATTCCCCAGCCAGCATGCTGACTGGGGAATTCTGGGAGATGAAGTCCACATATCTTAAAATTGCCAAGATTGAGAAACACTGGGCTAGAGGATAAAAAAGAGAAAGATAGGAAAAGTTGAACTGGGAACTTACCACATTACCTGGGCTCCTTCCTCAGATACCTCTACTTCCATTATTACCCTGTCTCCCACATATACTTGCTGGTCATCCAGGCCACTCATGATCAGGACAGGTGGCTCTAGATACAGAAGAACAGAATGTATAGTGGTGATATCGCTCAGGCAAGGCTATGCCTCTCAACTTTATTCTGCAGGTCACCCCTTTTGTCACTTTCTCCAGTCATGTTCTATCTGCATGCATCCTCCCAGCCTCACCTCTTACAAAGAGCTCCGTGAAGCACTTCTCATCCCTAGCCACACATTCGTAGGCTGCATCATCAGCCAGGGTGGACTTGGTGATCGTCATGATACGTTTCTTGCCCACATTCTCAAAGATGTACCTACCCACAAGAAAGAAAAAACACAGGCACCTGCATAGAGAGAACCAGAATCCTCTTTCCCTTGGCTCCCAATATACTTTCCCATTTCCTACCCACTAGAACAATAAACAGCATCCTTGCTTTGCCACCTCATTGCTCAGACTTACTTGCCACTGGGCTTGATCACTTGCCCATTTTTCAGCCATTTGATAGGTATGTCAGGGTCGCTCACCTCCACCCACATCTTAATCTTGTGGCCTTTGTCAACTTGATAGGCAGGATCCAGTTTCTTAATGAAGGCTATAAAAGAGATTGAGAATAGACTCCCCTTTTATGCTCTTGGACTAGAGGAGGTGGAAAGCTGAGAGAAAGCTAATGAGACGATATAGTTTATATGTTGTGCTGAAATGGTAGAACATACCACATAACTACTTCCATTAAGATCCCATTTAAACAGAAGCTGTATTTCAGTCTCCACCAACATAGTCCCTTCCAGATATTTTGGACTTCATCTCTCAGAATTTCTAATCAGCCATTCACCATGCCGCCCTGGATTTCTGGGAGTAGGTCCAATCCATCTAGGAAGGAGCTGCCTGCCATATGGCAAAATCTGAGCTCTGGCCCACCCACCCATAACAAACAGAAACAGTCTCAGGAGGGATTTTTCTGGTACCCAGAAAAAAAGCATCCTAGCTGACCTGCACTTTTCTTGATCTCCACCTTGGCTTTCTTGAGCCTTTTCAACATGCCACGTAGATCAGTGATACCATATTGTAAGGCAATGCGCTCATACTCGCTTTTCTTGGTCACACCCTTAAGCAGCTCCCAGATCTCTGGTGGGATCCCCATATCATCATCGTCATCCTTTTTCTTCTTTTTCTTCTCTTCTTCTTGCACTTCTCTATGGAGAGGGATGGAGGAAGAGGGAACTCTCAAAGCTATCCTCTAGAGCGACTGATACTTGTCTGTTCCTTCACAATAGTTGATACAGATAGGAAACTACCATATTTCTTCAAAACAAAGCTTGTCCTGAATTTGACCACCATGAAGCCAAAATGAAATTACACAGAACCTCTCTCCTCTCATCTGCCTGTATTATCATATTCTCAGGAAATCTAAGCCCTCCCATTTTAAAGGCAAATTATTTGAGAAAAAAATACAAGTAAGTACAATGTACTATATTCCTAAAGGGGCATTTTTCAACCTTTTGCATCTCTCACAGGAAATTAATTGAATAAAGCCCACCTTCTCAGTCTCAAACTGTTATAACCAACAAAGCTCCTATAGGCTGGTCAAAACAGAGATGGCATGAGGTTAAAGGTAGCTCGTAGAAATTATAAGGAATTTCCAGATTTTAAAAAAATGGAAGAAGCTCAGTTTTGTCCACAGACCAAACATTCATATTTTCACTCTTAGAAATTATTACTCTGGTGGAGTTACCATCTTTTCCACAGGCAGTCTTTCTCAGACAGAGATGTTGGACAATACTAGGAACCATGAAAATTGGACAATATTTCTCATATTCACTGCTGCCCTAACTGGTTTCCAGCCTGGCTTCCTCACTGGCTTTTCTTAACGACAGCAAATTATTACAAGAAATGTATCAGCTTCCAACTGCTGACTCTGAAGAAACCAATTGATTATTAGAAAATAGGACTTCTCCTGTATGCCGTGTTGAGACCCACTTAGTTTGAGATCCCTTATTCATCTCCTTCTCTTGCTTCTGCTTTTATTATTTACTACCTCTGCCCGTAGTTGAAAAAAATTCAACTTTTTTTTTCCAGAGCAGGAGTAAATACACCATCCTCCAGAGCATCAGAGTAACTGACCAATGCTTGTTCTGGCATCTGAAGGAGGCGATAACAAGGCTTTGAAATTTCACTATCATTGGTGCATGGCACATACAGGAAGCCTAGGAGTAGGGAAAATAATCAAGCAGAGGTTGGATCCTTTCTTCCTTTTCTTTGAGGAAACTTCTCTTTCAGCCTAGGAGTTCAAACAACAATTCTCGGCTATATGGTTTGTATTTGTAGTTTAAAGCAAAAGGTTGCATTTTCCACCCTGAAGATCTTTTATTACAAATGAATGAATTTTACCTGTTTTCACTAGACTGATTGCTGGATATCTATACAGGCCAAGAAAGAACTACTGTTACTCCTCCCTCCACCCCTAAGATCTTCACTTACTGTACCTCTTCTTAAGCAAGCTGGTGAAATCCAGCTCTCCGGCAATATCACTTTTGGCTTCTCCACTGCAAGGAAAAGAAAAGGGCACTTTTCATTCCAAAGCACCATGCATTGTACAGTAATTTTTTAAAGTTTTTCTTCCTCTCCATCTTCTGATTTTTGCAATATTTTGTCTGAAGAAGAGTTCTGGAGATTACTAAAACTTGCACATTCTTTTGTCTCATTGTGGTTTGATTTTGGAATTGTTTTCATGATCCAAAAAGCCAGCATTTCCCTGCCTGCCACCCCCCATATTGGTCAGGCTGAGCAGCAGAACTATGGAGTCTGTAGTCCAACAAAGCCAGAATGGTTAAATGAAGGTGAACTGGCCCAAGTAATGGATTCATTTGTGCTGAAGCCATGAGTACTTACGTCCGTTTGAATGCTTGTAAAATATTGCCGGTTTCTTCGGTTCTTGGTGCTGGAGGAGAAGATAACGAAGATTTACAAGGCAGAAGTTTACAGAGTTAGGAATGGGGAAACAACATGGAAATTAGGAACAAAAAATGTGTCCTCTAAAGCAAAAACTGCTTTTTGCTCAAAATAACTGTGTGGGAGCAGTAATGCTAGCTAAGCAGGAGTAATAGCCAAACATACATGTCATCCTCAGGTATAAATAAAGGAATGATAAAACATCCCGAAGGCTAAAGTTCTAGAGAGGGAAGTCAACCACAGAAAATTGCCAATATATTCACCTTTGAAGGCAATGTACAAGATTAATCTTGACCAGTATAAAAACTATTTGATGGGATGTAATCTCCAAAGGATGACAGGAGGTGTCAAGACATTTAGGTTGAATTTGTACAACGTGGGTCTGGGCTAAAGTGGAGTTGGGTAGTCTGTGGTTCAGTGAGTTGTGGGACACCCAACTATTCTCTTAGCAGATTATATGAACCATGTCATTTATCTGTTTGAGCATAGCATGTTATATAAACAATTGAGTTTTGTTAATTTAGGTTTAGAGATTAGCATTCAGTGTGAACCTGATGGTACCTTCCACATCAATATTGAAGACACAGCTGTCAAAAATGTCCTTTGCTGTCACCTCACAGCGATAGTCACCCCGGTCTCCAATTACTACTTTCCCAATTTTCAGCCCATAGGTGTAAATCTTTGGGAATAAACAAAACATAAGCACAAAGAAAGTTCATTAGTAGCTATTTTTTCTGCCATTATATCTTTAGCATATAAGGGTTCTGAACTAGAGAAGGTCAGGCATCTCTAGATCCCATTGGTAGAAAACTGACTAGTAGGATGCCCAATTCTGCACCTTGTGGTCAATTCTTCTTTAACCAAAGTCCCACAGGTAGTTTCATTTATTTATGTATGTATGTATGTATGCATGTATGTATGTATGTATGTATGTATTTTCCAATCCAGGCTTTGACTGGTAAAAAAAGTGGGTTTGTCAGGTTGAAAAATAGTCTTGTTGGTGGAGAGGGTGAACTTGCAACAGACACAGAAGGTTTAAGCACTCCTACATTACTGATATCTCACCCAGATTTTTTTCCCTTCCACTGTGCTAGTTCCTGTTATTTTGGCAAATATGAGATTGAGACTGGCTATTTGCCAAAATTGGTCCAATTTTGCTCTCAGTCTGTTTAAACAGTTAAATCTCCAAGTTTTAAATCAGCTTAAAATGCCTTGTTTAGACTGAAATCAGTGACATTCTCAGTTATATTTAGATTTCTACTTCACCCATTTCAAAGATCTGAAGCTGAGGACATTTCCAAGTGGTGAAGAAAACTGGATTTTGTGCTCAGTGTTATACTCTGGAAGTGTTGGTTTACAAAAGGGCACGAGGAATAACTTGGTGCTAGAATTTTAAAACATTCAAGGGGAGAGATGAATGGTAGCACCAATATTATGAAATGTACAGCTGCAGAAATTTAAATCCTATTTTAAAAGGTAGCTCAGTGCTCCCCAAATGAAGGAGACCTTCCTAGTGGGGTTGAGGGCAACAGATAATGGTTCAACTCTTGGTGACTATATGGACACAACCATGCAGGGGTTTTTGGCAGTAGTACAGAAGTGGTAGGCCACTGTCCTTTTCTGCTATGTTTTTTTACTTCCCAGTCTGGTTTACAGCCCTGGAATTCCCTGGGTTCTCCCTCCTAAGTATTCAGCAGGTCTAACCCTTGTGCAGAGCTCTTTGATTACTTTGTGATTCAATGTACACACACAAAAACCTGTTGTATGAACACTGTCATAATGTCACACATGTCATCCAGTCAATTCCTCCAACAGTCACCCAGCAGCATCCTATACGGCAGGTTTCTCCCACCTGATGCTCCCCCTATCCTCCCCATGGCTTGGCATCCTTGTTCTGAAGAGCAGCAGAGGACTCTTTTTTTTAAGCTGTGAAATGTAGGCATTGGAAAACAAGCAAGTGCAGTTTTACTCGAACAAAAGAAACATGGGGATATTCCCAGCGAAAACTGATCACTGGAAAAGTCGTGCAAGTTCTCCAAACATACTAATACATACAGAGCTTCAAACTGAAGGTTTAGAACAGTGTTTCTCAACCTTGGCAGCTTTCAGAGGTGTGAACTTCAACTCCCAGAATTCCCCAGCCAGCAAGGAGTTGAAGTCCACACCTCTGAAAGCTGCCAAGGTTGAGAAACACTGATTTAGAGAGTGATGGGTTTAGGAGAGCACCTAAGAGTATGTTTACAAGCCAAATCAGTTGGCTTGTAAGTTGGTTAGTTTTGGCAGAATTCTCAGCTGCTATTGCAAAGCATACTTCTCAGTATCCTTTGGAAATAAGCCATGGTAGTTAGAGTAAAGGAGTTTTAAGAATTAAAGATTTTAAAGAATTAAGATTTTGAGAGAGCAGGCATCAGCATCTCTTTCACCTCTTTTTCTACAGGGACTCACATTTTTATCCTTGTCAAAGTTCTCTGTGAACTGGAACCGTAGCCCGCTCTTAATGCCCAACTCCAGCCACTTCCCCTTGAACCATTTGATCGAGGGACTGCAAGGGAGCCGAGCCCCATCCAGCTGCAAGTTGATAGACACATCACCGCCTATAGAAAGGAGACATGTAAGTCAGAACATCTGTCTCCCCATCCAAACAGGCACTTTGTTATCCTATTCATCTAACTCAAGAGAATTAAACTTCTATAAGGTGTTTTTAAGTCAAGGACAACTTTGGTATGGCAGGAAAAGACAGACTCCCTCTGAAACCCTGGAGAGCCATGGTTTATTGTAGATAATACTGAGCATCACTCAGAGAGCCATTGCAGGCAGTGAAGTTACTGGTACTCTCTAAATGTGTTGGACTACAAATCCCAACATTATCAGACCAGATGGCCATTGGTTGTGGTGGCTGGGGATGGTGAGGTTTCAGGCCAACCTTGCTGAAGGTTGTTAGCTTCAGGAAGACTGCTCTAGTTGATACTGACCTAGATGAACCAACAGTTGTTATATACAGATTGTATAGAGCCAGAGGTCAATGCTAGAGTGCATACTTTGCAAGCAGAAAATTCTGGGTTCAGTCCTTGGCTTTCCCAAATAGGATTGGAAGAAGGAACTTACTTCTCCTCTACGAGAAGGTTCCTAGAAGTGTCCTGACTGTTGCTGATATGAAAACTGACTTAATATAACATTGTTCAGTGGCTTAAGGCGGGACACACCAAACCTTACAGCTTGGTTGTACACTAATCTAGCAGGAATTAGAAAAAAGCTGCTTGGTTCTCTTCCTGCTTAAAAACAAGCAACTTTTAGTTCTGTTACATCCTATCAGTAGCATTTAGAGATGAGAGGGAGAAAGTATGAATGAGAGATTAAAGAAAGAGTACTCTATCAGGTCTGGTAAGAGATAGTTGCTTTTTTCTCCTATACTTTGAAATATCCCTAGTGATTTCTGGGGTAGGAAGCTTTTGAAACTGTTTTGATCTCAGTTGAATGCTGGAACTGTAAATTTTCAGACTGGTGCCTGAGTTTAATGCTTTGGTTCTCCCTCCTCCTCATCGTTACTATTTATGCCATGTCTCTTATATTGCAAATGTCTTTTTTATTGATCTGTATGACATGTTCAGATCCTTTTCACTGGAAGGGCAAGGGGAAGGAAGGAAGGAAGGAAGGAAGGAAGGAAGGAAGGAAGGAAGGAAGGAAGGAAGGTTCTCTAAGAAAAGCACAATGCACAAGAAAAAGATAAGAAGAAATACTTAAAAAAAAAGTTCATGTGAATTTCCCTGGAATTTAGGTTATGTGGGGATCTGCCTGCCTTTCTACTTTACTGCTTACCGCAATGTATCAGTATATTTTCTGGCTTCTTGATGAAGATTCCATCTGACTGTGTGGAGGGATCCCCTTTGTTTTCCACAGGAGGGGGAAAAAAGATAGATTGATTAATGAACTAGAAGGAAGAAAGATGCTGGGGTGATTTGGGGTGCTGGGATAGAGCAAAGCAGGAGAAACTATTATCACTGCACTCAAGTTCTAAGGAGGAAGGACAGATTATAGAGCTCATGGCCAAAACATCAGGAGTGTGACTTAGCTAGGAACTTAAGGCAGCAACCTGTAAAAAGTATTCCATGTCCTCTACTGGCACAAGGACATCCTCGGGCTGCTTAAGTGAATCAGTTTGTTTGTTTGTTTATTTACATATCAAATTGGTCACAGCCCACCTCATTAAAACACAACTCTGGGTGGTTTACAAAGCAGTTAAAATCAATTAAAAATACAATATTTCCAGCCAAGGACCACTTGGAGTACCAAGAATTTATGGGTGGGACAGAACAAAAATTAAGTTTGATTAAACATAATTAAAATTAATTATAGTTAACATGATTTCTCTCCAAAATATTTTACTCCAACTTTGGGGGTGGATGAGGGAGCCAGGTTTATTATCTGTAGGTTCTGGTTAAAAATAGAGCTAGCTCCAGAGCTACTAAGTGTTGGTGATTCTTTGGACTTCTATATAGTGTTAATCATGATATCCTTCTGGACCAGCTAAGGGAATAGGGAGTTGGAGACATGATGTTGTTGTGGTTCTCCTCCTTTCTCCAGGCCCTGGTGGTAGTGAAGGAGAGGTTGAATCCTGGGGCCCTACTTTGCAGGGTTCCTCAGGGCTTCACTCTCTCCCCACTCATATTTAACATCTACATGAACCTGCTGGGTAAAGTCATCCCTCAACATGAAGTATACATCTCTGCCCTGGATCAGCAAGTGATGCTGTTGAGGTTCCTCAGTGTCTAGAGACTTGTGGAGGTCTGCTGGAGAAGAACAAGCTTCAGGTCAATCCTGGCAAATGGCTGTGGGTTCTAGGTCCCTCTGGATCCAAATATTTTCCATCTTTAGCTCTGAATGGAGTAGCATTTGAAGTAATTCATTCCTTAGTAATCTCCATTTGGATTACTGTAATGGACTATGTGGGGCTGCCCTTGAACAGCATTTGGAAACTGCAACTTGTCCAGAATGCAACAGGCATTTTTGGACACTTCACAATATGCCCATATAACACTACTTCTACATGAGCTGTACTGACTTCCAATGAGCTTCTGGGCACAATTCAAGGTGCTGGTTGTTACTTATAAAGCCCTGCCTGACTCAGAACTAGGTTACTTGCAGGACTGCCTGTCTCCAATGGTTTCTGCCTATCCATCAGAAGTGACAGGGTTGGGCATGCTCCAGGTCCCTCTATTAAGCAATGTCATCATACTTTCTCCGTCCCAGCACCTGCCCTGTGGAACAGCATCCCCCAGAGATCTAGATAGTCCCGACCCTGTTGGCTGTTTGCAAAGCATTAGAGAGCAGGTTGCTCCCTCAGGCATTTGGGCCAGGATGTCAAGTGAGCCCTGCTAGCTGATTTCTTCCGCTATTTTTCTAGGATGAAATATTCTTACCTCCTGGCACCTGCTCTGCTGGAGCCTCAGCTAGGGAAAATAGAAGAGAGGGGGGGAAAGATTAGTGTTTAGCTACAACCAAGGAGTAACATGGTACTTTCCTCACAGTTCCAAGTACCTATTCTTATTGCAACACAGCTTTTCTCAGGCTTGTAAATATCTCAGGTCTGGATATTTAAATTGTACCCACATTTTTATCCCATGCAGGATAGCCTTATAAAAAATGAATTAAACCTCTTGCCATAATAAACCAACAGCAGGGCCTTTTGTTTGAATGAAAGACAATGCATGTAACATAGAAAAGTTTGGCAAGGACTAGGACTTTGAATGCAACTTTTCTTGACTGAGTTTAAATCTAGCAATTAAGTGATTTCTTGGTAAGTGAACAATCTTTGGACTTGTGAGCTCACACACACATCCTCATTCTTTGTTCCTCTAGTGTGTCTGCAAAAAATGGATCAGTAAAACAAACCAGTTTCTCAAACCATGGCTACAGCTACTTATAGTTTCTTCTGCAGAAGAAATAATACCTTGGGCATAATGCATGGTTCAGTATAATACTCCAACATTCTGCTATGCTATGATTAGTCTAAAGCTGAAGCAAAAGCTTTCAAAGCAGAGAGCAAGAGCTGAAAATCACAGCCCAAGTGGAACATGGAGCAATTTTTCTGCCAGAATCTAGAATCTATAAAGCCAACTTGAATATTTTGCTAAGGAGATGACAATGAATTGAAACTTGCTGTGGCAGCTTAGCTCGCCTTGAAGAACTAGGGTTCAAACCTGCTTTGTACAACTGGATGTTTTAAACATGCATACTGTATAGTGTGACTTTGGGCTTTTATATTTTATTAGGCAGTAATGTCCTTTTCAATTAGGTATCAATGCCATGCTGGATCCCACAAAGGAAAGATATCAAAAGCAACAAAGGAGTCATTTTTTCCTGGACCAGTGTTTCCAATAAAGATATCATCTTACTTACTTGTCATCTTTTAATTAAAATGGTCTGTCAGGGATCAGCAGACTATGAGCTGGGAGCCAGTTTTTCTAGGTCAACATGCCAGCGTATGGAAGACTAATGCAGAAGTTAGCAAGCACTAGATCTCTGCTTAAATGTTGCATTACAAGGTATGCAAAGTCTTCCGCCTCCTCCTTCAACTCTGAGAATGCAGGGCCAAATAAGATTCAAGCATAATATATTCAAGTAGTCAAATGATGTTTTGATTAATTCATGCTGCTTTCCTGGGCCTTTTCACTGAATGGACATACAGTAGCACGTACAAGATTTCTAGGAAATCAAATGTATGGCTCTCAGTCAAAATAGATACATTCTGCCTGCATTTTTCTGTTATTACTGATATGTGAGAAGATGAAAAGAGAAGTCTATTAAAAGCAGCTTGATGAGTCCTAAACATCTTGAGATGTTTCCAGATCATGCTTTTATGGTCCAATTGTCCACCAAATTCTTATCCCCTCCACCCACCCACAATCATACTTTGCCACTGCTTTTTATCAGAGAATGTTTATTCAGTAGAAAAAGACAGAATGACTGTATAATGTGTTTTGGTTGGTAGTGATAGGAGCACCTTTGGACTCTATACTGACTCTGCCTTGGAATAAGCACTAGATTCTTTTTAAACTATTTCTTCTCAACCAGGGCATAATTATACCAGCAAGGTATTCTTGGGAAGAACAACTGCCCTAAGCATCACTTGTAAAGGGGCCCCATCCAAAAGATGGTACAATATTTGTAATGACCAGATGGATTAAATTCTTTTTATTCAGATAGCATATAACCTCAAAGTCTTTCACTTTGGGGATTCTCCACATGTAGAGGTTTACTGAGATACTGACTTCAAAGGGTGATGGGAAAACATTCTCAGATGAATATTCTGTCCTTGGCCTTTCAAGAGTCTTGAAAAGGCTTTGCATACCATTTCATTTCCATTCCCTTGGTGAGGCTATTCATAATCACTAGGAAACAGAAAGGCAAACAGTATGTTCTCTGCAGCTCTTCATTCTTCCAATCTAAAAAAAAATGAGGGATTGACTTTCTGCTGGCTAGTGTATGCGTGAGCAGGTCAAAATATGGCTCTTGGTCTTACTTTTTGGGCCATCTTTCTTCTCCGCTTTTGGCTCTTCTTTCTTCACTTCTTTCTTCTTTGCTGCTGTAGAGGAATGAAAACAGAAAAGTATGCGTCACAAGGCAACCCATGTCTTCCAACCATATGCAGCTATACTCATTTTGAATGGCATTATTTTTCTCCCCCCCCCTTAATAGTTTAACAATTTGATCAGTAAAGTGCTTTGAAGTCCTGTAAACAAAGGGGAGATGGGGCATGACTTGGGGAGAAGCCACAGGACTTTCCCAAGCAGCTTGTAAGCTACATGAACCATCTTCAAAGACCAGATTCCCTATGCTGGTAGACAGATCCTGTAGCTGCAGGGTGTCAGTATCTGTTTATGGCCTGGTAAAGTAGAACATGGCAGCATGATTGCCATTGTTCAGAATTCCTACTGAACTCTCTCCTCTTCTCCTCCATTTTTTATCCTTCCAACAGATATTATTTTGTGGCCACTGCACGCACTCAGCCTTGGGTGAGCTATTTTTAGAAATGACCCCCTCTTTTTTTCTTTTTTAATAATTCTGCAAATCTTGGGAGTTGCTCTAAGCATACTAATGCTTGATTCTCCGCTGTGGGTGATGCTATTTTGGCTATATAAATAACCGCATCCCATCTGAAGATTGGAAATGACAAGAACTATATCCTGAGGATGTCCATAAAAACATTATTTTGAGGAGAAACCTGAAAGAATTCTATTCTAGGAAGAAATGTCAGTCATTAGGAGAAGGTTTGGAGAGAATAAAGTAATCTAAAGCTGTGGGAAATCTGCCATCCTGTGTTTTCAATAGACCTCAAAGCACACACTTGCATTGTGAATTCAAAATGAGCTCTTTACACCTCACATCATTTATCATAATGAAGTTATTTCTACAGTCTTTAAAACAGGGCTGTGCAAAGGATAAGGTACAGCCTTTCAACTCTAAGTTGCCTTTAAATTAACATTTTTAACATAATGGAAAGGCAAAAATATTACATGCATCAGCTGTAATCATATTAATCATTCGAATTAACTAAGAATGAAAACTGTACTGTAAGCCTATGTTCATTCACTTAGTTAAAACAATGAACTTTATTATTCTTTAGTTTATTTTTTTAGATTTATATCCCACCTTTTATCTTCAAGCTTGGGTGGGTGGGGTTATATAGGGATCTCCCTGCATTTTATGCCAATAGCAACCATGTAAGGTAAGTTGAAAGAGAGAGAAAGACTGGCCCAAGGTCACCTAGTGTGCGTTTCCATGGCTGGGAGTAGATGTAACTTTGGGTCTCCCCAGTCCTATTCCAACACCATAACCACTACATCACTATTAAAATTTAATCAAATTCTGCTCTTCTTGGGGCCCATCAACTTTTTAGAATGCTACCCTGGACCAAATGATCTCTTGGGCAAAAAAACTAGCCGGGTAATGAAACGTTTGCAAGAAAACAACCAAGCTCAGAGAACCTCAAGGACTCTACAAAAAAAAAAAAATCTATTTATCGGAATGTTTTAAAGGGTGGAATATAATGGAAGACAGTATTATTAGTCATCTTGGAATGATGAAAATTGTAATGCAGCACATCTGGTGTAACCAAGTGGAGAAAAATTGGATTGTAACAACAAAAATGTCTATCAACCAGTGTATCCTGGCATACTCCATCTCTCTGATAATCAGCTGCTATATTGCTAATCTGACCTTTAATCAGACAACACAAAGGGCCTTCTCCCACTGCTGAGATGAAGTGTTATTCACCCATCCTTGAGTTAGTAGAAAAGTATACCAGTATGACATTGGCTGTTCCCCCTGCTGATCCTTATCCTGTCTCTAATGCTTCTGTTCCCGTAACTGCAGTGATCTGGGTTCCTTCCACAGTAAGGAATACATTTTTATATTCTTTGAGGCTGCCGTTGGACAATGTTGGTATAAGACAGAAATCACTACTTTAATACTAGCTAAAGACAACTTCAGGTTCTTTCACTCATGGCCTGGGGACAAGATGAAGGCAACGTTATGGGAACATGGTAATAAAAAAGGTTGTAAGGGCATGGTTGTGCTGTGGTTAGGTGTAAGTGGGGAAAGGCTCAAAGACAAATGTGAATTCAGAAAGCACAGGAACTTCAGAACAGTACAAACATTTGAGCTGCCAATAATAGTACGACGCACTGAGTAAAGCATGCTTAGATGAATTCAACAATTAAACTTAATAGCATGCCTCAGTAAGTCGCCTTTTATTCTTTTATCTCAGCTGGCGTTCTATTAATCCTTCCTAAGGGGAATATGCTTTTCTTTCTTTCATGCATAAGAATTGCTTTTGGCTAGATTATTTCTTTATTTCTGATTCTTTGATGTCTAAAGTTAAAGCATATAGCACTGTAATTTCAAATTATGCTCCTCTGAAGCGTATTGTACTATCTGGTGAAAAACTGCAAATACTCTTTAAGTGGTGTCTTTGCTACAAAGATCTGTCAAGCAAGTGGAACAGAAAATGGTAGATGTTTTCCTAAAAAGAGATTTTCTTCCATCGTTGTCTTTGGCATAAGACACTGCCATGGGAACCCACAGGGGAGTCAAAAAACTCAAGTTGGTGGTTGCAACTATACAATCAAACCACAGCACAGCCCCCTTTTTACATGCATCAAGTAATGCACTTAAAAACAGACCAGGACTTCAACTGCACCGTTAAACCTGTCATCTTGACTTTTTGGACACCCCCTGCAGATGACCTTGGATCCTGCTAAAACATTTATTCAGGGTCACACTATTTAATCACTTCTTATAAAAAGAAACAACCACTGGTTAAATTTACCTTTTTAAAGGAGAAAATAAACTAATTATTATTGCTTTATTATTCCCATCTACTTCTGGAAGGACAGAAATCTAATTACGAATTGAACAAGCTCTATGTTTCTAAGAATTTTACTACCTTGAACAAAGCAATGGTATTGGAAAAAGGGAGAGAAATCTTGCATGTTTTTCCTTCTAGATTTAAAAAGAAATCTTAAGCAATGTAATATTGTGCCATCTGTTGTAGCATCGTTAATCAATTTTTCTTTAAAAAATTATTCTGAATTGTACAATACTTGTTTTTGAAGATAAGATAAATTCCTTTATCCAGAAAGTGGGTTGACACATTTATCACAGAATCAAGCTACTAATTTTATTTCACCTCTTTTGCTTAAAGAAATTGTCCCTACAAATACATCCATCAAATGGAAGAAGATCTTGCTTTCTGATACTTTTCCAGTTGAGCGATACAGAAAGTATATTGGGTTTTGGTCTCTCTTTTGTTAGAGATCTATATGGAAGCCTTTTCAGATAAATCCCTAAACTAATACTAGAGAGGCAAACATTCCAGTTTTTTCTAAATCAGGCAATGGTATTAGTCTGCGTTCTAACAATTGAAAAATATGGATGCTGAGATTTTAACAGTTATTTTGTCCCTCAGAGGAGAGGCTACCCTTCCAGTTATAATGGTCCAGATCAGGCTATATTTATAGAGGGCTGTCAAGCTTCAGACAATATCAGATTTTTATTGCTGTTGCTTTAATTCAAAATAAACAAGACCCAGCAGCTGTAATCTCTGTGGATGCTCAGAAAGTTTTTGTTATGTTCCATTTGCAGTTTTTGCAGCCAGTTTTGATTTACTTGGGTTTCTGTAAAGTTTTATATTTGGGACTGATATGATTTATTCAGTGTCCAAATCATGGGTGATTTACTAACAGTATACCCTCACTGCAGTTAAATTTATGTTGAGGTATACCTCATGGTTGCCCTTTTTCTTCTTTTCTTTTTAATTTGGCTTTAGGACCTCTTGCCATTCACTTATATCCACCAGCACCCACCAGCTTCTACTCTACCACGTCCACTGGCTTCTGAAGGCAAACCCACATCTATATAACCAATCAGTCTTCCCCTCCCTCTCCCCTCTTGACCACCTTACCCCAACTGAAATCCTACATCAGTCTAGCCAGTCTATGCATCTGATGCAGTGAGGTACAGCTCATAGAAGTTTATGCCTTTAAAAAAAAATTTAGTCCGAAAAGGTGCTAGCAGACTCCTGGTTTGTTACCCATTTATCCTGGTGTAAGAATACCGAGGAACCCTCCTGTATTGCTAAATGTTGATTTATCTCCTGTTTTGACACAAATGAAAACATATAGACACCTTATCTAGAATTCTTTTGACTATTTGGGGTAATGCAATTAAGATGATTATAGATTCAATGTTGAATCTGAGATATTTGCTGTATGTTTATTCTATTGAATATTGACAAGATAGTATCTATAAATTCTTTAGCAAGGACATCTTGCAAGGTTTTCATTTCATAAATTACAGCTGTCTATTAAGAGAGGGGCATTAAACCTTCACACTTTCAGGTTTATAACTGAGCAGTTATCCTATCTTCGGTTACTGACTAGAGTAAGCAACTTTGGAGTTTAGCTCCTCCTTGGACTCAGCTTAAGAGTTATTATCTGACCCCACTGAAATCCTGGCAGGTATTGTGCAGGGATCAGTTTCAGCGTCTACACTTAATACTGCAGGACATATATAAAAATATTGGCTCTCAGCTTTGACCCACTTAGCCATGAGAAGGCTACATTATAAGCCTAGTTTTAAAATAGCTTCCAAATCTGTTCTTTGGATAAACTGGGCCACTCGTTATGTTATTACTTTTGATCAACTCAGCTCTAAAGAAGCTGTTCTTAAAACTTCCTAGAATTAAAAAATGAGTTTGAGTTCAATCTCCGAGTGCTTCTTGGCAGTGTATTCAACTTCATTACTTGTTACAATATGGTTCTGCATTCATCACTATTTGTTCAAGTTCTTGGTTGAGTTACCAGTATTTGGAATCTATCAAGGTATCAAGAACTATGGATACTTTGTGCAGGGGTTGGCTAAAGGAATTATTATGCAACCCTGGAAGGTGAAATCTATACTGAATTGAGCAATATTGTTGATAGTGTAGTTTATAATGGACTCTATGTGGGGCTGACCTTGAAAGTAATTCAGAAGCTCCAGCTGGTGCAAAATGCACCAGCTATAGTATTTGTGGGGCAAACCTACCACTACAGAATAACATCAGTATTACAGTTGGTTCCTAACTGGCTTCCAGACCCACTGCATGGCCCCACATGGCATAAGACTAGGAGATATCAGGAACTATCTGCCAGAGTTGACTCTGTACATCCACTCCAAACAACTTGGGGGATCTTCAAAAGTGGAGCAATATATAAACCAAAGTAATAAATAAGCTGATTAAAACCATCAAAATCTGATGAGAATTTGACTTTGACTGAGTGTGGGTGACTTTGAATGATAGTGGGTACTAGTTACTATATAATTTTATATTTGTCCTTTGTTTTACTTTGCTTTGTTGAACACCATCCCGGGCCTCAATTGCTTGGTTCAATTTACAAACAAATAAATGAAATATTC